ATCCCCGTTTTTTGTGCACTTGCTGCGGCTGTGGCTGTTTGTGTTTGTGTTTTTGGCATTGGACAGGACAGGCGGCATCGGCGGCGATAAAACAAAAGCCGATTTTCAGTTGAAAAGTTTAATTGAACAATGATAATGTTGGGTGGCGTTTTTTCACTCATCGGACAACCAAATGCCGGCGCACAAAAAATAGCCAAACAAAAATACATATGAGGATTTATACACTCGTCCACATGGATGTGCATAATGGCTGGGCACTTTGCCATCACAACAAAGCAAATTGGTTAAAAGCTGAGCCAATATTGTGATAGATTAAAGATCAAGCGCCGCGCGTTCAATAGTGGCGCCATTACCGACACTAATCAACCCTCAGGAGTCCTCCGGCCTCAACACTCAGCATTCTGTCATTATTTCCCCGACACTCACAACTAATTTGGCCCCGAGGCGCATTAACTCCATTTAAACTTATAGTCAAAGTTTCCCAGCGCAGAGGGTAAAGAAAAAACTCGGAAATCAATTCATTGCATTTCCATTTCAGGGAGCTGTCCGAGTGCGAGCCTTATGGCAACATAATTCTAAAGGAGCAGAAACCAGAGTGCAACTTACTGCACTGCACAAAATACTCGGAAGTTCTGTTTTGAGAAACTAAGTATTAGGATAGCTTTACAGTTTAATAAAAATCTATAAGTTAGTATACCAATAAGATAATAGGTACTATGAATTGATTTGATAGTATTGGTTCTGTAAGCAACACTAAAATAAAACGAGAGAGAACGCTATAGTAGGGTGCCCCGACTATTAGATTCTTAGCTAAAATAAGTGCAAAGGAGATGGAGATATGCAAGCTGAAAAACACAAAAGAGCAAAGCGACAACTAGCGCCAAAAACTTTAAACTAATTAAAATTTTTTAATTTCTTAAACCTTTTTAATGAATAGTCCGATTTGAAAAATGTTTAGTGGGTGAAAAACCGGAAAACTCTCGTCGGTTAGATGCTTTTCCCCTTTGAATTTCCCTGCGGGGAGCCGATCTCAGCTCATTTGTTTGCCTTTGTTGCTGCCACAACAATTGGCGACGATTCTGAGGCGACGAAAGTTGAGCACACTCTCCCTCGCACTAATTAAATAAAATCTATTCCATTCTCTCGCCTCGTCCCATATATATATATTTATATATTAATTACGACCTTACAGTGCGGATGACACACGCAAGACGAGGGGCCTGGCGAATATGACAAAACAATAATGAAAGCTTTGACACGACTAATTGCCTGCGGCGTTTGCTGTCTGCTCGAGTTTCGCTCACCCAAACTCGGCGAATTTGTAATTGAAATAATGCAATTTCCGTTACTCGTTTCAAATACATTTTACAGGAAATCTCAAAGGGCTCGTCGACATTTCCCAGGCCCCTTGGCCCTCGACCCTCGACCTCGCTGAAAACTTAAACCAAAATTCATTAAAACTTTGCATTGTTTCCCCATCAAATTCAGTTTTCCCTCTCGCTCACGCGCCCTGTCTCCTTCTATTGATGTCTGTGTGTGTGTGTGCGTATGTATGTGTGGGTGTGTGCGATTCTTATTTGAATAGGTATCCATTTTATTGTTTATTCTAGACTTTTGGTATAAGCATGTCGCGACTAATTCCAATTAATTCAGCAGACAAATATCCTCGAACGACGGAAGCGCAAAACTTGCAAACTTCCTATCCGCCCCAACCACCCACCACCCCTTTTAGCTCACGAAATGCTGAGCATGCAACTAGGTGGGGGGTGGAGGGGCAAGATTTTGTAGGGGAGGTTAGGGGGTGGATTGAGGAACGACGCGGACTCTGAGCTTTTGGCTTTGGCTAGTTGTTTGCCATTGATTCCTGTTGTTGTTGTTGTTGTTGTAGCTGCTCATGTTAGCGTATTTGCTGTTGTTGTTGCCACGGTCGTGGTTGCAAGGCGGAACAAACAGGGAAAACTGAAACCTGAGAGTGATGCACAGTGGAAACCAATAATATTAGACGAGTTCGTCGAAAATAAATCTTATCCTATATTTATATTATATTTGGTTCACGGGTGATTTATTTTAGCGAGATCCTAGGAGCAGACTTCTAAGACACTTTCAGACTAAACGACACTTCCAGTTGAGGACCAACCAATCGTTTCTTCTGATTTTCTAAATTCTTTTTAACATGAAAACCCCAAAATAAGAATAATTAAATTCCTGATTAGAATCAATTGACTGGTATAACATTTGGATAACAAACTACGATAAAGTATTCGCGAATGCTCATTTTAATAAAAGAGAGACAATTGAAAATCATTAATAAGCTGTTAGGTACAAGATTATTTAAATATAAGTTATTAAGTTGGTAAGCTTTTCAAGTTTTTATTAAAATAATTTATCCCTTATATTAAATCAATAAATAAGATATCTTTAATCATATATAAACAATTGAACCGGATAATACCCACTGTGCCAGATAATCAAATTGCCGAAAATGCGAGTAGACCGAGAGGGCAAATCGGAAACATTCAGAATCTGAATCGGAGTCCTGAAGTTCTGAGAGTCCTGCCCCGGCATGTGTGCATGTGTAAAATCAGCTTAGAGCCCCCTTCTCCCTTTAACCCCTGGCCTCTTCTAGGCTCTGTGTATCTGTGTGTGTGTTGATTCGGGTGTGCAGCTCGGGGTTTATTTAAGCCAGTTGAAAGTTTTGGCTTGCAAGATTTACCTTCTGCCAGTGGAAGACAGCTGAAAACTTCTTTTTGCAGCACCATTGACTTTTGTATTTGTTACAATTTTCTTCGGGTAATTCAGATTTTAGCAATCTGCAACGTGCAACCTGCCGCAACCTTCCTAGCTTCCTTTTTCCCTCCGGGAGTCTGTCTCAAGGATTTTCCCTCTTTGCTGAGTTTGTGTAATTTGTTTGTGCCCAAAATGCTAAGATGCTGAAATGAAACCCACACAGATTTCATTTAAGTGTAAACAAACGAACGGAACTCCAAGATGGAAGCAGGATAATCGGGTTTATGGCAACAAGGTTGGGCTCTACCAGAGGAAATAAGGAGTTCTATATTAAGAACAATCTTTACGATTCATTTTTCCTAACCATAACTAGGTATCGCATAGGATAGAAACTAGTCTAGTACCAATAAATAAATAATAATACATTATTTTTCCGAACCATAACTTGGTATACCATAGGATAAGAACTAATGTAGTAACAACAAATATTTATATTGGTAGAAATGTCTACAAATATGATTCATTTATATCAATAGCTATTCGGTGAACCTAATCCCATTTTGAAAAACTCTTTTACAGGAAGCCGATCACATTTTACAATTAAAATCTTCAAAGGAGTCCAACCATCTGATTTTCATACCCAAATCACCCTATCAGCCGCCTACGCAGCATATTCATTAAGCCATATCCATGCTCATTAGATGTTCAAATAACTTTCAGATACTTTGAGAGCAAACATAACCGAAAAGTTCTTGGCCTGACGGATAACATGGCCAAGGGTTAATTGGCTGCAGTCGGGCCGAAAAGTGACTGAAATGGCTGGGACGGCAAATCTCGTTTGGATGTTAATCATGTTATTACTTGGCAAGGCAATTAATTAATGTGAGCTATTTATGTATTATGCATGCGCAAGATACAAATGTATCTGTATCTGAATCTGCCTATCAGCACACACTCAGTTTCGTTGGGAGGGGTAGCGGAAAATGTGCTGAGCCAAGCTGTCAGAGAGTTTGGTCATATTTGTTTTTATTATTATATGCATATGTTGACATTTACAAAGCCAACAGAAAGCGGAAGCGGGGGAAGGGGATTTCAGCTTGTGCAAATAACTTTTTGTATCTATGATCCATCAGCAAATGCAATGGACGACAAAGTTTTTCTTGGCAAAAACAAGATTTTTTGGTCCCAACCCTCAGCTCGCAGCCCTAAAGCCACCCCCATCCCGAATCCTCGCCCCCTCCTCCACCATCGAAACCATAAACCAAACACAGTAAAGACATTTAAACAAATCAAGCAATGAAGCTAAAAGTCTCTCAACCGTATCACACATGAGACCCCTTTGCCGCCCGAGAACCGAAAGTGGAATGCTTCATTTGGCCCGAAAATGCCAGAGCTTCGAAAGGGTTAACTGCTCTTTGGAAGGGAGCCAGGGGTGGGTAACTGGGGAACATACTGGTTACTGCTGTCTTAAGTGATGAATATCTGGAGAGAATTTGGATGCGCTTTAATGGGTAGATTGCGTTAGAAGAATTAGACCTCTGGGACCGGGAAGCAAAATAGAGTTGAGTGGGCAGAGGAGTATCGCCATATGAAAACCACTTCGGGGTTATTCTTTCATTGGTAATTCGGAAAACAGATGTTTCGTTACTTTACTTAATAGACCGCCAAGTGGAATCAATCGAATTATTGAATAACTGAACAACCCTATCCCGGATATCCTAAAATCTCAATTGATAGAATACTTTAGTTCCGGTGCCAATTATGTATACCAACATATGCTTAAAGGTACACTTAATGCACAATTTCCTGCCAACCCTATTGAAATTATCTGGAATTCCAGGCTGAGGCCAGCAGAATGCCAAACGTTTTATATTTCTCAAATTGACACTTCTGTTTCGTGATAATTATATTATTAATTAAATTTCTTGCTCAAAGGTTGTAGCTCTTTTGTTCGACAATCCAGTAATGGATACACTTTACAAACAAATTTTTTAATCTTTACTGCCATCAGTTACTTTTTAAATATATTTCGTTATAATTACATTGTACTCAATACTGCCTGCAAATGACACTATACAATCCTCCGCTTGCTGAAGAAAAAGATTTTGTACTCTTAACGATTTCTATTATAAACCCTTGATTAATGTTTCAGAAAATTATAAATTAATTAAATTAAATTAAAAGTAAGTAAAGTCAGTAAGGTCTTAATAGAAAATATTTATATAGATTAGTTTTAACTATAAACAGTACCCGCAAATGAAAAGTACCTGACGCAGGAATACATGCTCATTTTATTGGCTAAAGATCTTTTCAAAATTGGGCTAACCAATTTTAATAACGTTATGATTGAGATTCTCGTTCTGGTTCTTTTTGCGTCCCCCCGCTCCCGCTCCAGGAAGTAATCCAGAGTTACCTGGATTTGGTAGATCGGCCGGCGGAGGATCCTGGGCTCCGGCCAAAGCCACTACTGCAACAAGGACGAACATAGCAATCGTAAGGAACTTCATCTTGACAGGCCAAATATTAATATGAAGTCGTCGAGCCAGAGATTTTATACCTCCGTTGACTGGGTGGAACTAATAGTTGGCACTAATTCTAATCGGAGGCTTTATAATGATCTCGCTCGTGGGGCAGATTCGGTGCCCAGCTGGGCTGTGGCAAAATGAAATTATACACATTAATTTGTGTAAGTGGAAACATTTTACATGACATTTAAGCTTGCGTTGGTTCCAGCCCGTGTCTTGTTGCTTGTGGTCGTCTGGTGGTTGCTACAACCCGAAAGATACACCGCACACATGAAAGATACACACACTATGCTGCGGGGGTACGGGGAGGAGCTTTGCACTTTGTCTGCTGGGGCGGAATATGCCGCGTTCAGTTCTCACTTTGAGCTTATTTTTCGGACCCCACCTTCAGCCCATACATCCCTCTGATCCCCCAGCAAACTTTCCACGGAACTGCAATGGTGTAAGTGGTCTCGGGGGATGCGAACTGGGGGGCGGGGGTTGGTTGGCACTCCCTCAATGCGGTCGTGTAGTCAACTTCAACTTCACTTAAAATCCTTTTTGCCATTACGTTTCGATGCATATGAGGTTTTGTTTCGGAAGGCAAGTGCTGCAGCCACCCGCCCTCGACCCGCCCTGAGCTTATTTATAATTTAAATTTGGCAAAAACTTTTGCCAGGTTGCATTCCCAGCCATCCGAGTGGGTGAACTTTACTTTTATGTAAATGACACACACACATCGCCCTACCCCAAAACCCCTCGGTTCGATGTCATTCACAAAGTTTCGCCAGCGAGAGATCGAGTTTTTCAGCCCGAGCCGGAGCAGTCATTATGGCCTATGATTATGGCTATTAGAGTGCAGTTCTGCCTTGTGTATGTGCGGTCACCTGCTGCCGGATCATTATCCTCCGGCGAGAACTGCCAAATCGACAGGGTTCCACCGAGGAACACATTAATATACGAGTTTATCTGCGAGGCGGCAGCAGCAGTCCTAAGACCCGAAAATAAACACACTTTTAACAGCTTTATCAAAGCTGAAAAGCCTGCTATACAGTCAACGACGGCCAAAGACAGTTGGCAAACTCCGACCAATAAAAATTAAAATATTTAAGCAAAGCGTAAAGATGCAAAGCTCCGCAGTAAAGAAAGATACATGACCCTGGATAAACGGCAGGAGGAGTACACTGAGAAAAAAGACAACCGCAATGTGTTGTCTATATTCTTTTAGAAAACGTTTCGACACTTACAGAATTTTAATCTTTAATATTAGTAATCAATTAAAAGTGTAATACTCATAAATAGAAGATCAAAAGAGAATTTATTTTATTGGTTTGTTTTCTTTGTTTTTGTTTGTTTTTATATTTATTTTAAAATTTTAACATTCATAAGTAAATATAAACATACTAATAAAACAATCAATTAAAGAAATTATAATTAATTATTATCCAGATACCAGACTAAATGATTAAGACGGTTAAGACTCTTACATATTCTCTCCCAAAAGCAATCCTATTTGTTTCTGTAAAATTTTCTCTCAGAGCAAAGTGGTTTGCATTTAAATACCGTTACATTACTCACGCATTTCCTGGGATTTGATGCAACTCTAAAAATCGCAATAGTTTTTCGATTACCACGCCGAAAGTAGGCGTGGCTTAATGCTCAGGTGGTAAACTACTCCAATACCTTTACACTCGCAGAAGCTCTTTTAAAAAGTTTCCTATGCCTGGAAAATTGTTCGAATGTAATACCATAGTTGCTTAAGGTATGACGTAAAGCTATTCAAAGTCATCGGTTCCTTCCTGATTTTTCTCTGTGTAAGATCAGAGCAGAGCTCCCAGCTCGGTGGCGGGTTCTATGGCAGATTAAAAATTCCACACAACCTGGGTGGCGGCAAGGAGCAGTAGCAGTGGCAGTGGCTGCGGCAGGATGGGTGGTGGTGTGCGGACCGAAAGTATCATTGCAAAAGTTTCATTCGCTCCTCTGCAAGAGATTTGGAAGCTGCGGTAAAAATGCCTGCAAGGCTGGGAAAGGGACAGGGACAGAAACAGGGACGCCGTGGCTTTCCCTTTGCCCCCTCATCCATGTGCTAAGTATTTTCTCAGTTAATTATGCAAAGATATACGCTTAAAATTTTGCAATATTACGTGCATATTTCAAATACCCAACGTGAAAATTCCCGCTTCCAGCGTAAAAACGGAGGGCCGTAAAAATGCCTCCGAGGAACAAAGGCAGCCGAAAGATCCTGGATTCGAAGGATACCCGTACACCCACATACACACACTCGCGTTCAGTGACAGCTGTGCCGAGAAGGAGGCCAAAAGGTTATGCCTCGTACGTGGCAAAGGGCTGGAGTGTTTCCTTTTCTGGGATACGGAGTGGCGGATGGCGGAGGACTTCGGGTGGTAGCTCCCCTGGCACACGACTTTTTAATTGCTCGTTTGCCTTGCAATCATCGCTCGTCGTAACGGGTTTTGTCGTTTATTGTTACCGTTAACACAACCGTTACCACTGTCCCAAGGAGCATTTGTGTCTTATTAAAGCGTTCCGATTTTAAGGGCACCTAAGACGAATGTTCCATACACCCAAAAAAAAAATCCTGAGTGTCAATTTAATAACTGTGGGTTAAAATGACACTGCCCCTAGGATCAAATTTTTGGGGTCAATTTGCTCCCAAATGAGTGTCAAAAGTACACCGCGTTTTCAGAAAAATCGTATTTGATACTAAATAGTGTCATTTTGATAAAACTAGGTTCACATCGATCCCAATAATTATCATTTTTGATTTTCGAAGTTCGAAGTTCGGCGATGTTTTACTCGAGTATCGATTTCGTTTATACTTGTCAAGAGTTCGCTCGCGCGCAAAATGGTTCGATGGCCCAGTTGGTAAGGCGTCTGCCTCTGATGCGAGAGGTCCCCGGTTCGAAACCCAGATAAATCATAGTAGGTAAAAAGTTTTTAAAATGCATATACATCATTTTAAGAACAAAAATGTTAAGTTGTGTTAGATTACTGATAAAAAAAAAAAAAAATAATGGTGTTGCGAGCGGGATTCGAACCTCGTTCCCCCAAGCACAAAATAATATCAGAACCAAGCGCCTTGGCCCCTGAGCCATTCCCATATTAATTTTTGCCATGGCAGAATGGTTACAGGAGCTTTCAAGCAAATGTCAAATTTTATTTAATACTAAGAAAATGACACCGGCTAGTGGCTCTTTGACACCAAAAGGGGTTAAATTAATATTTTCGAAAGTATTAAAGTGACACCAGAATAGGGTCAATTTAATGACGTTCGGATCAAAGATTTTTTTCCACTCAATAGTGTCACATTGACACCTAAATAGGGGCATATTGATGACTACTTTTTTTTGGGTGTAGGCGCAGAGATTCCCATTTAAATTGCTTTTAAATGAAAAGGGTGTTTTTGAAGGCGGTAAAATATTATTCTGATTTAGAGACGTTTTCTCGTCCGCTTATTAAATTTAAAGTAGGGATTAAACCTTAAAAACATGTACAACCAATAAAAAACATAGTCTTACTCTTAAAAGTCGTTGTATTAAAAATGTACTAGGTTTAGTATAAAAGTTTGGTATTGAATTAATGCTAAATAATATAAAATATGAACCACGTATAAAGTATTAATTTCTTACTAAATATCATTAAGTTTATATTTTGCAGTGTTGCGTTGCGTTTTAACACTTCCGAAAGTTTTAATTTAATATTAATCTTATTATGATTCTAACTCAATAGTTTAGAATCAATGTACAAATAGTTTCGATTCCATGAGCACTTTTTTTCGATAAAGGAATTCAATGTTTAAAATATACTTTAAATTTAACGTGCAGTCTTAATCTTCTTTTTAAGATCTTAATTTAATAAACAATAATAATTTTTTTTAAATAAGTCAGTATTTGACTAAACTCAAGAGCTAATATGGGCACTTCCACCAAAAGGTCCACCAAGCCAATAATCTTGAAACTTGAATAAAACATATTTGCACATGATTTTGCCACGATATTAGTTTCTAAATAGTTTGATCCTGAGCTTAACTAACAATTTGAAGTATAGTTTGATTATTTTTATGACAAACCTCACCAACATACGCAAAAATTAGTTTTTGGCTATTTTTTGTTTTTTTGTTGGACTTGTCTTCAGTTGTTAATTTATCCTTAAGGAATGGTAATATGTGACATTATTCTGTACTGAATGCTTCATTTACATGTTAAACTATTAGGTTAAATGCAAAACAGCCAGTAATTAAGGGATAGCGGTAAAGAAATACACTTTAAAAAACGCTAAGAAAAAATGTCCCGAGCGACATGTCCCGAGCGAATGTGGTTGAAACTGCATAAAACAAAAACGGGAAACAATTTTTAAGTAAAACCAAAACCATTTCATAGCGACATGTTTGGACGACATTCTAAAAAAATCACATTCAAATATTTCATCAGAATTCGGTAAACTCTGTTGTTGAATGAAGTTCCCTGAAATCCACTTCTATTTTTGTCCCGAGCGAATACGGCAGTTTTTTAACGATATCTTAAAAACTAAAAGTGGTACAAAATCAAGATTTTTACACAAAATAGAGCTTGGGAAGAGTGAAAAAAAGTCTATTATTAAAATTAAAATCCATTTTTTTCCAATTTTTTTTCAACTTTAAAGGTGTGAAAATGTCCCGAGCGACAATATGTAAGTGCCCATATACACATATTCGTTAAATTATATTTTATATCATCATCCAATCATCATTAAAATAACTTTTTTACTTTACAGCATAAGATTTATCTACTTTTAGACCTATCCAATAAGAATGCTGTTTGCTTACTCGTTCCTAGGTTAATTCTTTTGGCTTTGTCCCAAAGCCAAGTCCGATGAGATCAGTTGGACCAAAGCGATATGAAGTAGTGGCATCTTTATTTCGGAATCTAACAAATGCGTCACTAACATGGCTTAGGATCGGACTAAGATCGAGCGGAGAGAATCGGAGCTGAAACTAATGTCGCTATTTTAATGCATTTTCCGATTTGACGT